AGAATTGTTTTTGCAGTTGTTATTGCCCAGGTCATTTATTATAGCATAACACCCTTTCACTAACATTTTTAAGTATTGTGTGTCAACTAAATGTTTTCACAAAGAGTGAAAGTCTTGCTATTAATTTTTCCAACATTCTTAATTTTCTCCTGCTGCTGGTTCTTCTCCTTCTTCTGTCCTCTATTGAATACATATATCTATCTTATTTTTGTCTGTCTTCTGCCCATTAATTCTTGCCAATAAGTTGTTTCTTCTGGAAATGTTACTACTTAGTGTTCTCCCAGTCTTTGTGGATTTTTTCCCACATTTTGGTTTTTAATGATCCCACTGTTCCTGGAGGATACTGGTATACATCATTAAGTTTAGGAATCAAAAATAGTCTGCAAGTGGATTTGCTTAAAATAATCACATTTTCCTAAATTACTCCTGTTTGGAAAAAGACCAGGTGGCCTGGCACAGAGCTAACTGGAGTCATTGACCAATTCCCAGTGAACAAAAACAACTACACTGTGCCAAATGCATGTACAGCTTATGGGTTTTTTGGTCTAGTGTGGAACATACATATTCCTTTATCGGCCTTGTAAAATACCTCTGCTGTAGAAAACATCAGAATTCTAGCTGGGGAATGCTATATTAGTTGCTGACTTCCTCCAGCTGATACAAGGTACATCCTATCTCATTATCCGGATATGAGGTGTAGAAGTAATGCACTTTCTTGTGAGTAGCCATGTGTATGTGAGTCCATTCTACAGTATACAAAATTCTGCTCAAAGAGTTATCTTCAACGCCTTAAATACAGGCATGTACATTTTTATATATATGTTATATTTTTATCTAACTAAAAAGAATATATGGCTCAGACCAACACCTTTTTCCAACTCAGAGAGAGATGCTGTCACGGAATGGAAAAAAGTTTATTCAAAACAGACATAAATATCAGGTTTCTAATAAAGTAACTCCACTTACTTACATTTAAAAGGAAATTGCAGTGAAAGCACTGATGCACAGAATTTACCAAAACTAATTTGGCAATTATTTAAATGCCCTCTTTTCATACTACTAATTACCCTTTTCTGCTTTTTTTGGAGCCAAAACTCCAGAACCATTCCCTGAAACAAGTCTCAATGTTAAAGACCATTCGATTTGGAAAACCTGATTCTTATCGGCCACCAGTACCTGAAGTGGGAGAAGTAAAATGAAGAAACAGGTATCAATCTTAGCTCAAGAGAAGCCTCACTGAAAAGCAACTACTACTCAGAGAATTGTAGTATTTCTTATAAATGCAGGCAATTTTTCACTAAGTTGGGACTGTAACATGATTTGGAAGCTGGTATTTGTCTGGCAGAGGCCTCTGCAAATCCTCTGCCTTCAATCAAAGGCAAGTTTTTCAGGAGAGACACTGCTGCAGCTGGCTCTCAGCTTACCAGGGGTTGGATAATCCACTCCAGGAGGTAACTTGATTTCTCCTTGTGTAGTATAATCTTGCATTTCCTGATTATCATCAAACTGGTTTTACAATTGTGACTGTTCCCATCAGTGGCTCCTGACCTAAGACAATCTAGTGGAGGGTGTCCCTGCCCGTAGCAGGGGGGTTGGAACCAGATGATCTTCGAGGTCCCTTTCAACCCAAACCACTCTATGATATATTCTGACGCCTACAGGGACAAAGATGGAACAATGGGAGTAGACCTGAGTGGCACTATGGTGTACCATTATATATCCTCTGGTTTGGGCAGTGTATTTTGATTTATGTGGAATTCTTAATAAACAATGTTTTATGTTTTGGCACCACCAAGAGCTAATGTTGCTTATTGCTACAGTAAGTCCCTAAATAGAAATGATGACTCTAGTAAAAATGTTTTCTATATAGCCCTTAGGTTTAGTCCCTACTTTCTAAAAAGTGTCTAACTGAAAACACTTGGGAAAAATGCCCTCGCTTCCTCTCAGGGCCACATGGATAGCTGCTTTTTAAATTGCTTTTCTTCCCCCTAGAACTTTTATTCATCCTCCAGTGAATGTTTTCTGCTTATGTAGCTAAGCTTCCAACCTACTTAGTAAATGCTCTGAGTTTTGGGAGCTAGAACCTAGATGCAGGCAGGTGTTTCCATGTAACATTAGTTGTAGTTTACATCCGTAAGTCTCAAATTAATATCTAAAATGGTATATACAGCAGCCACCAAACCCTGAGGCAGTTTCCCTGTTTAAACTAAAACCTTTCCAGTCAACTGAAGCTGTGCATCATACAGATCATCTGAAAACTCCATCAGCAAAAGGAAACAAGTGCTAAGCTCTTCTATTAGCCTACTAGAGATCTAACCACATCTAATGGTTAGAGATAATAATCAAGTTCAGTACAGCACGGACTGAACAGCAAGGCTTATTACTGAATTATGCAATTCCAAAAGGGCTAAGGCGGCAGCCTTATTCAGTATGGATGAATGGTTAATTAGTAATAGTGATCTTAACAGAAGCAAATAAATGTTGCCTTTTTTTTTAAGCTTTTTTCTCCCATAAGTTTCCATTATGATGCACATATTCACAGGATGGTATCTATCTGTCTACATAGGTAAGGGACAGAATTCTTTAAAGGCAGTCAGACAGGTCAAAATTTACTTAAGCTAAGTCCCTGTTGCATTTGATTTGAAAATCTGTAAAATGGCTAGTGAAATTAACAGAAAATCTGGTTTTCTGTAGTGATGTTCACAAAGGTGTTTAGCCCACCATATTAATGTACTTCATATGGATTGCATTATTTAGGACTTTAAAAAGGGTTGCATGCATTTAAAAATACATCTTTGTATTTTAGAATTCATGTACACTCAGCAAGGCTTTAAGCATTCATTTAGTTCTTTTCTAAGCACCAGTAATGTAACAGAATTCCTCAGAGAAGATACTTTCCCATGAATTTAAATAATATGGCTTTTTAATTAATAATTTCTATCTACTGAAATTTTAATTTTAAAATTGTAAGTTTTGTCAACTGGAAGAGTAAAGTTTAAGACTGGTGTTCAGATTAGAAAAATACTGAAATTATAATAATAGAATCTGGAAATAAAAGTAACAAAGCATAAATTCTCTTAGTGTATAAAAAGTTTAGAACACTATAAATATAGGTAATAAAGAAAGCATGTAAAAAGCACAATGACCTATTCTTCTGGCAAGTCAAAGACAACTTCTCAGCTTGGATTTCTCTATTTAGACTGAACTGTTTAAAAGCTAGATGCCTGACTGATGTAATCAATGCAGTTTCTGTTTATCTTGCTGGAATCAAATGGACATCACCAGAGCAGAACTCATCTCATCCTAAACTAAGCACTTATATGTCAGACTTTTTGCCCCTGGAGATGCTGATTTTTCTCCTGCTATACAGGGAGTGTAGGGTGACTAGCTCAATTTGACATCTGAAGTTAGGTGTAATTTATCACATTTTTAACTTCATATGTTACCAAGTCCATTGACCAATTTTACATAAGGGCAAACAATATTTGTATAAAATAGCAGAAAAAGCAAACTTCTTTGTTGTTCCTTGCATCACTCCTAGGTTTGGGGGTTTGTTTTTTTTAAATTCACCACCAGAAAGCAATGTCAAAGCATGTATTTAAGGAACAGTACCTATGAGCCTGAAGTTGAAGACGCATTAATAGATCATCTGTGGAATACAGAGCTCAATGGATGGTGCCTTTACTTGCTCATTTCTCTCCTCTTACACCAATGCTTGCAAGGAGTGAGGAAGGCATAAAACAATTTTCACAAGATTTGTACCTCCTAACACCACAAAAGCTTTCTGCAAACCATGTGTGCTGTGAAATTTGTGCACCACGATGAACAGCTGATCATAATTTTGAACAGAAGAGGATAAAGTCCTCTTTTGATGCATGATTTTGAAATAGAAATTTAAGTGTGCAGTCCACACAACCTGTATCTTGAGCAGGTAGGCTTAACTTGCAGAAGACCTAAGAAAATTACCAGATCTAGCAGGAACAGCTTCCCCAATACACAGACAGGACTATTCACAGATGTATTGTGTTAACACAGGGCATTGCACTTGTTATTCATGTAAAGCATTTTCTATATTTTGGCCAAGTATTCTCCCTATTATTAAAAAATTTGCAAATTTTTAGAAGTGCACAAACAGCTCTAGAAAACAGTTGTCTCCACCAATAAAAAAAGATAAGTCATACCTTCTAAAGTTTTCTCATAAAACCCAAAGAATAAATTCTCATAGGAAAACCAACTCAAGAAAACTAAGATGAGCAAAAATAGAAAAGATACTGTTTTTAAATATGATTTTCAAGAAAAATGGACTAAAATAAATCTGGAAGATCTTACATAGGTAATCAGGTAAATTCATCTATTTGCTTTGCCTATTTGAATGTTTAACTACTAAAAAATCCCTACCTTCAGGTAATTTTGCCATCATGTCAAAAATCTGATGCATGTTCTTCCGACAGATATCTACTGGATCATCCAAGAGCTCAGTGAGGGCAGAAATTACTCCATTTTGTATCAACCCTTGCCTACAAACAACATTGGAGGACAGATTTAACTAAATGTAATAAAAATCATATATATTTAGAAATGTTTAATCTTAACTAAATATTCTTATTTACATTGTATCCATCTTGCCAAAAGTTAGAAATTCTGTTCTTATTTCTCACTGAAATGTCTTTATTGCTTCCCACGCCATTCAGTAAACTGCAGGATTACACCTACCTGCCAACATTATGCATAGCCATTGTATAGAGGATTTGTGTTGTTTTTTGTCGGACAGTACTGTCATGATGTACCAGCAAAATCTTCAGGTTATGCAGGACTCCTATGAGACACAATAGTTCATTTTAACTTTCTTAACTTCAGCATTTATTTAAAATAGCAATATTAATTTTTACCTTATTTGAAGTGCAAACAATCAGAATTTTCATCTTGTCCTGACAGCAAAACTCTCATTGACAAATCTCAAGTAGGGAAGAAACTTTCAAGTTTCAAGGCCTACTGCCAAAATGCCATGCTACAAACAAGCTGCTGACTTCTGTATCAAGTTAAATCCTAATCTTGCAAATATTTATGAAGTGACATAACTCTAAAAATAACTGATGTCAGTGGAGCTATTAATGTTTTTAGAAATGCGTATGTTTGCAGGATTGACACCTGCATTTTTAAAAACCTTCTTTAGGCGTAGCATGGGCTATGTAAAAAAACAGTGTTGCTTTTCACATGTAGAATACATTTGGTGAACCGTTAATGATTATGTATATACACACATATAAACCCTCCAAAACAAACAACAAGCTTGCACTGCTGCCGCAGTTACTGTTAATCAAACAATAACAATAAATTTTGAACCTGGTTATTGATATCTCTTATGAGAAAAAAATATGAAGGAAGTAAATGGAGAAAAAAGCAGTGGCAGACTGGAGGACTTCAGTGTTACATAATGAGCTATGTAGATACACAACAGACTGCTAAAAATTGTGAAGATAAGCTTGTGGGTTTTTTTCAAAAATCCAAATTTAAGATTCTTCCAAGTGCTGAGATAAAAGCTTTTCAGAATAGTGGTGGCCAGATACAATCCTGATGAGTACGATAAATTTGGTTATATTGTCATGTATCTTAATTTCTCATGAAGTTCCAGGGATTTTTTGTTATAGACTTATTCTACAATCACTAAGATACTTCTGAGGAGTAGTTCTGCATAAAAAGTTCTGATGTTTTGTCTCTCCAGTAAAGTTATATCTGGATGTGCCGTGCTATCCGTTGCTGAAGGAATGAATGGCAACGGCTGACTTCACAGATTTTGCAAATGAACTTGTAAACCTTATTAGAATATTATTTCATTAATTATTAATTAAAAGGTTCATCAGAGTTTTTTGCTTGTTATTATTATGGGATCTGAAATATGAGTATTTTGAGCATGTCAAGCATGAAAAATCCAGGAAGGTACCACTGTCATATATAGTAGAAAAAGTCTAATGAAGAAAAAAAAAATCTTTTTTTCCAGCTCTAGGATAACTAAAAGCTTTTTCTTTTCCCCTTTCTAAATAAAATATATTTAATAGTTTTATGTTATTAGAAATTCATAAATTCACTGCTTTGTTTTGTCAATGGTTCATGGATAACAGGATTAGAAAAGATTCCAGGCAAATAAAATTTAACTAAGTGGCAAGAGTGTGTGTCTAACTTTGGACTAATCAAGCTTTTTTAAATTAGCCTATGTTAGGAATTAGCTAAAATTCAGAATAATCAAAAGAAAAATAAAAGATTCTGTGCTACTTTTGTATTTAGGGGTTGATAAAACCTATAAAACCTACTGTGATCCTAAAGTGAGGATACTCATGTATGTGGAGTAAGTAACTGCCGTGTATAAAGAATTCTAATATTCTTTATCTTTTTAAGGTAAAACAAGTAGAAGTTAAAACCAAAAAAATCTTCATGGCCATTTTGTGTCATCAAGGATATTGCAAAGAAAAAATCAGTACACAAAAGTGTTGGGTTTTTTTCCCCCACTGTCTCAAAGCTTTATGACAGCAGATCACTTACCTATTTCTATTGCCTGGTAGACATTTTCTGGGTCATGGACCAGATCGCAGAGCGCCATCAATGCCTGCTGCTGAGTCACCAGCTCAGGAGACCGTAACTCCTCAGTCAGTTTGGGAAGGGCCCTCTTTCCAAATGCAATAGGAGCTTTTGTGGGATCTATATCAGGGGGCAGGTTGGCTGAGATACGAGCACCTGCCATCCCAAATTTTCCTGGGAAGGATTCTCCCTTATTGCTAAAAATACTCCAAAATGACTGTACCCGGTGACTGGATAGATAATGTACCAAAAAGAGAACTACTGTCTTTAAACAGTGCTCTGTGTCCCAGAAGAGCTATTTTAGCACACATTCATTGTCAAGAAGCTACGAAAGAAGAGGCTGTAATGGTTGATGGTCATCAGCATTAATGTCTGCTCATCAGCTGAATTGTCTTATCTGGTTTAATTCTCTGAACACTGTTAAAAAAAAAAAAGAGAGACTGAAAGCTTAAATTGCAAGGTGAGGGAAGGAATGTTTTTCAGAGTTAAAGACAGGTAGTCCAATGTCCCCAAATCTGAGAGGGGGCTCAAAATAATATTAAAACGCTATTTTTTCAAAAAAAGCATACTTTTAAAACGAGTGTAGTTTAAACCCGCCCTCAGAATTCGTTAACGTTTGAAAGAATCGGTGATGGCTGACCTCCCCCTTCCCTCAGTAAGGAAAACGGCTCAGGTGACAGAAGCAAACAACCACCAATACTGAAAACTGCTCAACAAAAATTCAATTAAAACAACTGCTAAACAACTCCACTTCTCTCTTCAAAACAAGAACTAGATTAAATAATCCAAGGCGCCCTGTCGCACCAACATGTCGCCGCCTGAGCGCGTCCCCGGTTCCCGCTCCACAGCTCCTTCCAGCTACGCCACCGCCTTTCGCTCCCGCGTGCTCCAGCTGCCACAGCAACCAGCTCTTTGCGTACGCCCCTCTCCGTGAATAAAAACTACGCAGCCAAGCATACTGATTTTGGTCCTGCGTCAACAGCGTAAGTACCGCGTTTGACGGCTGGTGATGCGAGAGAATAGCGTCAACGGCGTAGTTGGCGAATTGGAAGCCAGGGCTGCCGCTAGCGCGGGGTTGGAGCGCCGCGGGCGGGGAGGGAGCGTGTGAGGAAATGGGGGAAACGCCGCCGTGGGGCTGCAGGGTGGAAGCCGTTTTACCTCGCTTCTCTGCTAAAGCACGGAGGGAGGCTGTCTTCTCACCCTCTGTTTTTAAAGTAAATTCAGTTGAATTTCAGCTGAATGAAAAAAATAATCAGTTTGAACAAAATGGTGGCCGACTTAATGGCAGAGATAGAGCAGGTGAGTGCCTTGAGGTACCAGGGTTGAAGGGAGCTCAGTAGCTTTGGACTAGGTTTTCTTTCCTAGTCTTCTCCAGAATGTCACCTTAAACAGCTAGAATGTGTAGCAGGGGCTTCCATTATCATCCTGTAGTTTCACATAACTGTGTTCAAGACTTGGCCATGTTTTTCAGTATGATTCTGCTAAAAAGTACGGTGTTGTTCAGAAGACGGTACACGGGAGAATGTATCATTGCAATGTTGCTAGCACAACTTAAGGGTGCTCTGGATTGTCAGATGGGATCTGGCATCAGGAAAAAACCAGCTCTGAATAGTTTGTGCCATATAAGGTTAGTTTTCAGTGCAAATGGGTAAGTCATTGAGATATTTTTCATTATGTTTGAGTAACAATTATAATAAAGTTCTTAAACTGGATTTTACAAAGCCAAAGTCATTCAGATCAGCCGGATTAAAAGAGAACACATGTTGATATTCAAAATCCATAAAAGAAAAACTACTTTAGAAAGTATTTTCTGGAAAGGATTCATTTTTCTGCAACATTTTAGAGCAGATTATTTAAAGTAGAGGTTTTTTCCTGAATTTGATTTTACTTTCACTAACTATATATTAGCAAAGTTTCACCCTATTTCAGTATGAAGAAAGTGAACTTTTCTTAATGTAGAAGGGGCAGGAGAAGATCAGAGACTTCTCTTTTCCTTCAGCGTTAACTCTGCTCTCGTCCCTTTGGTGCAAGTTGTTCTATTTTGTCCTTCACCATAGTTTGGAATACTGATTTTGGTTAGTGGTCATGATGTTAACTTATTTTATGTACAGTTTCTGAATGCCTTCCTCAAATCCTTTGTCTGTCCACAGAATCTGCTAGTGCTACTGTTCCTGCAACATTGATGTACAGAGGGTTGTGGTGCCATGGAGACACTATATTCCCAGTCCTCTCTGGTGACTGAATCCCCTTCAGCTCTGTAAGAAGAGAAAATCTTTATCTCAGTACCGATCATTCTCAGTATTTTTAGCAGCTTTCTATTTATTAAATCATTGATCTTTTCCCTCTAATGGTGTGGCGAATGTGTTGATTTGGTAAATCGGGATGTGTGTGTGTGAGCTTTAGATTAAATGCACTAAATGTAGGTGAACATTTTAAAATGTTGCTGTTTGGTTGCCTTGGTCCCTCCTGTACTTTGGATTCACTGAGACTGTTGAATTTTTTTTTTTTTTTTTTTTTTTTTTTGTAACTTAGTTTGTGAAAGATCTCTCAGAGATGAGCAGCGAGTCAGACAGATTTTTACATGCTTAGGACGTGTTGAACCAGAGCTAGCAGACTATGGAGAAAACAAGTTAGTGTTTGAAACTCTTACCAACTGGCAGAGTTTTTGTTTTTAGAACTATTATTTTAAGACATTAATATTGCCATGAAATCATTCAAATTTGCCAAAAGGGCAGGAGCACACCATAAAAAGGTTCTAGATACCTCTAGTTTCATACACTCACAAGTAGCATGATAAGTAGAACTATGCATATGGTAATAAATACTGTAATGTCACCTTCTCTGGTGAATAACCCATCAGCTGCAAATCTGGATTCTTTGGGGAGGAGTGGGTGTTTCAGTATGGTTGAGATTATATGAGGGCCTGAAGTGATTTGAAAGCAATTCCTCACAAAAGAGAACAGAACACTAATTCTTAATAGTGGACTAGTAGGTTTTTTTGAGCATTATTTTTAGCATGGAGTTGTAAAACATAGCTGTAGGGTTTTTTGTTGTATACTTACTTGTTGTGTAAAATTACTTGTCCACATTGATTTGCCCTTTAACATTTTTAGTCTGTTGTAGGAATGGAAGAGGCTTGTCTCCTGGATGTTCAGAGGTCCAAGCTGGTTCCAGCGTTATCAAAATATGACTATTAGAATTTGAGAGCTTTCTTTTGTCCTGAAATTTATATCCTAATGAAATAAATGGCAAAATCTTTTAGCATCCTAAATATCAGTCTAGCCTACTAAATGCTGTCTAAACTAATGATGAATAAAACTTAGGCAATGCAAAAGAGCTATGTGATCTCTTATTCCTTGTATTTAGTGTTTGGTATGTTAGAAAGCAAGGTTACTAATGACTAGAAAGACATTTATATAATTCAGAATGTCTCATTAGTGGCATGCACATCCTGACTCTAAAGCTGAGATGAAATCAAGTTGAAATTTTGCAAAAATACCTCAGGAATTTTTTTTATAATTGCTACTATGCTTAATATTAGCTATATAACAGTTCCCCACTCTGTTAGTTCCTTGTCTGATGGGTTAATCCTGCTCTTTGTATCCATATATACAAACTATCTTTGAAGAAAACAGAACTATTTTCTTATACAGGATATGGGGACCATATGGTTTATTAAGGAGCAGTTTCTGATCAAAGGAATCTGTATGGCCACTAAACCCAGTTTGTTCTTTTAAAACTAGGGCCCAATGTATAGTTAAATTACTCCAACTCCGCCTTCCCAATCTGGAAGAGAAAGGGAGGAAGGGAACTGTTGCAAGCCTGTTGCTATGGCCACGCAGCAGCAGGCTGAGCTGTTTGTGTGGCTGCGATCCTGCTGCATCAGCTGCTGCACGGTGAGTCCTTCCTTACACTTTGCTACATGTTCTTATTAGAAACATTCTTTTGAATGTCAGTAAGAAATTAGTACCCTATTAAGGGTCCCCCTCCCCCAACAACCCACGAGGTTTCATTGCATAACCAAATTGATATGTCTCAAGTGGGATATCTAAATGCATTTGTGATATTCATGTGAACATTGTTTTTTTTCCAAGTCAGACTATCTACTGATTTCATTCTTTCTGAGATGATCTGGAATGAAAGTTTGATGTTGTGCCAAGAAATGTGGCAGCTTCATCTTTCCTCCTTTCTTCTGACCAAAGGAAATCTGGTATTCCCTAACACTTATTGATGTGCTTAGTGCAGAGACATTTTGAACAATGATGAGCAAGATTTTTAAATTAAATACTGCAAAATCCTTTGAGGGGTAAACTGCAAGCACTTACGTTGACTTAAGTGAACAATTCTCTGCCCTCCCATGGAATTAGAGTTGGTGCCTTGTAGTTACAGAAAGCCACGATTTGCTACTACAGCTATATGCACTGAAGTGGTGCCTTTTACGTAAGAAACAGGTGTTCTTTAAGGCAAATAAAGTCAAAGAACTGCCCGTTGTACTGAAAGGGGGGGAAAAAAAAAGGAAGACGAGTCTGTAGGAACTGTTAATTATTTTTTTAAATCATGTTTTCTCTGTATCAAAGCAATTCCTGAATACTATGTTTCTCTTTTACATATTTCTTGTCTGGTAGAATTTAACTGAATTTGGAGGATGAAGTCCAACCTAATGCATTTGGTTCCCCCAGTGAGTAGGGACAGAATAATCTCCCAGTTTCCCAAGGTAAGCATTCTTTATCCCTCTGGTCATAGCATGTAGCTCCTGCCACATTGAGGTATCTTTCTCTTGAGCTAATAGTATTTTAATTTAATGTATAGTTGTTGTCTTCTACTAAAATTACAAATTGGTTAAGAATTTTATTCAAAGATAAATATGTGACCTCATGTGCCTATTCATTGCTGATATCTTTATTAATAATCCTCATTTCTTCTTTTAACCTTGCCACAAAAGTGTTATAATAGCTATCTTGTTATTTCAGTCAAATATTAATAATTACATGCTTAAAGAGTTCCTACACCGAGGGGAAATAAGACCCATAGCTGATATGAAATATGTGAAAAGCCTAATTAGATCTATATGGAGGTTTTTGTTGAAGAATTTGAGGCAATTTTCATTTTCTGTTTATATAGGAACCTTAGTCATACAGTAGATCAAATGTAGTAGACACTGTAGAAACACAAACGGAAAAGATCATTCATGTCCCCAAAGAGTTTTGTACTTGAAGTGTAATAGAAGAGTTAAGGACAGGGAAGGACAAGGAATTAACCATTCGGTTTTTTTCAGTTGTTCAAAAGATCCTTTAAGGGAGTTAGCGTTTCTTTCTGTGCTTGATCTCAGCCACATATTTTGCTTTTAATTTTATAAAAACTACCACAGTCATTTTAAGCAAATATAAGTTAAAATAAGTTTTCCTTGTTTTTAACGAATGCCTAATGAAAAACTGGTAATAAAAACAGTGCTTCACACAAATAAGAGATCTAAAATACTGTGTAGTAACAATGATGTGCTAGTGGTATGCTCCTACCTGTTTGTCTTGTGTGTCTTAGATTACTGGGATAATTTAAGGTACTTGTTACTGTACAGAATGATGAGCAAATGTATTTGGCTGTGGAAGTTTACCTAGTGTCTGCTGACACTCAGAAAGGTGTTTAAATGATGGTGCTGTCCAAAGAAGTTTTTACAAACGTAACTGTGGGGAAGCCTTACTGCCTTCTAACCAAAGCTATCCCGTTCCTTATGCCAGGGTATCCCTGTGCTTGACAAACCCTTTGAATTAATCTTACCTATTTTTTTCCTTGCTGATTTGACTTCTTGCAAACTAGACATCAGACAATTTATGCCAGTAGCTGCTCTCTCCTATTTTCAGTGGTACACACCTGAGGCCTGTCTGCAGTTCAAAGAGCACTTCCATGCGCAGGTCAGAACTGCTTGTCAACAGAGCACTGGAACAGTTGGGTAAGTTTGTAATAAATCAAGTACGCAATGAAGAAAGTATTTTAAGCTCTTTATAGCCTGCTTCCTTCGTATGCTTTTCCTCCCTCATTCCTTATCTTCCCTACTCCAGTATGTTTCAAGGCAGCTAAGCCCATGCAGTTCTCTGACCTGTTTGACAGTAAATGAATAAAGGGTCTCTTCTTCCCATGAGTATCAAAGATACTTTTCCTGCTGGCATAAGTAGTGTTGAAAAAATAGCAGCATTGTTTTGCAACAAATAGTTGTTTAGCAAGTTTGAACTAAACTCTTAGTTCAAAAGATTGTTTGACTGTTTAAAATTAGTGTTAAATTTTGCACATGCAAGTCAGTATGGCAGCCAAATTCTAGACCAGCTATAAGGAATAGGGCAGATCTAACCTTGCTGTATTCTCTGTTGGTGTTCCAAGTGAGCAGTTAATAAAGGCTTTGCGGGGATATAAATAGACATCAGTTCTAAGTTGCTTGAAACACATAAGAATCTAGCTTTAGTCTTTTATATGTATATGTGCTGAGAAGTTGTCTTAAATGTTTCCTTAAAACTGGAACAAAATTCTGGTACATATATAGCATTGAAAAAAATCCAAATAAAGTTGTTTGTGCTGTTGTAATATTAAGTTGCTTTTTTCACATCATCTCTCCCAGAGCTGTTACTTGTACTGATTTAATTCCTGAAGCAAGGCAAGAAAACTAAACTGTGGTAGAAATCATCACTATTCAGTTAAAATAAATAGCTGTATGCTTTAGTGATAAATGCTTCTGTGTTGCACTGTGAAGGATCTTTCATAAAGTCAAGCTTCTATGAATAATGGCAATTAGCTCACTATTTTTTCAAATCTAGAGTTGTTGATTACCATGACACTTGTCATGATATCCATCTTTAAACAGAACTTTTTAGTCATTTCACTAGGGAGTCTTGCTGAAAAAAAAAAAAAAGAAGCCAAAATATGTCTCCCTGAGAGACATCAGGGAGTTTATTGCTTTGTTTATTGCTTTTTAGAAACACAGTGACTGTCTTAGTTTCATGTAAATTTGTTATAAGTGTCCGGACAATTTTGCTAGCAAGACATGCTTTAGTGAATTGAGGCATTTTCCCCCTCTCTAACCAAGATCTGTTTGGGTTTTTTTCTTATTTCCAGAGTAAGCCAACTCTCCAGTTCATTTGTTCTGGTAACAGTATAGCTAAAAAGATTTACATTGTGGCTTTGTGAATAAAATTAAACCACTTTACTGTCACTGCTCTCTAGATATTATTATTAGGTCATTTTTTTTGTGAAGCAGAGGTACGAGGGACAGTCAGCTGAGTGTTTTGTACAGTAATTGTAAAACTTGACAGGAATAGCCATTATCTTCCTTTTCCATTATCCCAAGTAATGGAATATTTCTTTGTCATTCAGAAAGGTAGTCTGAGAAATTCAGTAGCTAATGGCTGTATTTAGGACTTTTTTGATATTCCATCAATGTGTTAAATTGTCTAATCTAGGGAGCTTTTTTTTTTTCCACGATATGAATTAATGGAACACACACCTCTAAGCCATCACTAACTATTTTGTTTTTTCCTTAAGGTTGTTGGTTTTATTCAGTGTTTTATCAGTAACAGTGTATGAGGCAGAGACATGTCAGTGGCTTAGGGGCCTGTGGCCACCCAATTAGCATTGACTGGCACACAAAATGCCTTCTTTTTTTCTGAAATATTAGTCATGCAGCTTACTAGTCAAGATTTGGACTATTTAGAATAGATAACTTGGAATCAGCATCACATGGAAGCCTGATATAACCAGAAATAGTATTCAATAGAAGATTAATTCCTTTGTTTAAAAGCCATTCCTTGATACAAAGAATGGTAAACCTTTTAAGCCATTTTTGTAGCATATGCATAGGAGATGTCAAATCAAGTTTAGGTCAACAAATACAGTTATGTTCACTTATCCACCTGTATCTCCTAAAAGACACACTTCAATTCTAAGAATGCAGGCTGAGTCATCTAAAGCCCACCTGCTGTATTCTGTGGGAGGACCCAGAGCAAAGAGGATAATTTGCATGAAGCCAGCTTCAGATTAATATTATTCCAGATAGTCAGAAAATGTATAGACTCTAACCGTGTGGTTTTTTTGGTTTTTTTCCCAGAGCCAAATTCTGCAGTGGGTTAATTTATTATCAGTAATTTCTTGTTTCTGCGCTTAGGACTTGATTTGTACTATTAAAGTCAATGAGAAACTTGTGAATAATTTTAATTAAAGGATGCAGATGCTCTGTGGACTTATGTGCTAACTGCCAAATGTATATACTTGTAGTCAAAGCAATTTTAATAGAATAGAATTTATCTCCCACTGGATTATATTTAAGAAAAAAAACCAAACATGCAGAGTAAGAAATTAACTCTTTCTGCTTCATAGGGTTGGTTTGTTTTGGGGTTTTTTTTTGCTTTCTTTTCCTTTCTTATAGTTTAAGATTCTGATCCTGCAGCACAGCAGCATTGAGGTAAACTGGGGTCACAGATTCACGGATACCTGTGCTCATCACTTGCAATTTAAGGATCTAAATCAAAATTTTTTAGAGAGAGAATGTTAAAATTGCTACTAAAAACATGTAATGTTTTTAAATATTTATAACAGGCTGAAAATATCCAAAGTTGTTGTGGTAGGAGACCTGTATGTTGGGAAAACCAGCCTTATCAACAGGTACAGTATCTCTTAGCAAATGGTTTGATTCTGCTCTTTCTCAAATAAATGTTATAATGTTTCCGTTCCTGTCCATTTAGGGTTGTACTTCATGGTTCTGTTTTGAACAATAGTTTTGTTATTAGATAAAAGACAAAACAAAGTCTATAGTATGAGACAGGCTTGATATACTAACACAGAAAGTCATGTTCCTGCACTTCAATTGGTATATGTTATATTCTGAACTACTTTTATCCAGTAGAATAGGATACAGTGTTTCTGTAAGAAGTCCAGTCTAAAGGCTAAGCAGTCAGAAGATACAAAAAAAAAAAATCTTTCCAGAGTCTGAGTTTTGGTTTCATGTGTTCTCCTTACTTGCAGAGTTGTTCACTGAAACATTTTAAAGTCATCCTTGTGTGGGTACCTGTTCTCATTTCTACAGCTGCAAGACTGTAGAGGTAGCTCAGGTTTTTCCATAGCTTATAAAATAAGACAGAGAAAATGCAGAATGCGTTAGAGAATACTTATTTGACTCTTTTAGCAGACATTAAAAACAGCTCTTATCCTTTTTGTATCTAAATCTAGTGAACAGATCCCTGAATTTCTGTAGCTTGTGATCACTGTGACAGCTTTCTGTTTATGTTTGTGTTTTATTATTATTTCTTCCACATTCTTAAGTAGATATCGTAAGTTTTTAATCTCATTGATTAATCATTTGGGTCATTATTTTTGACCCAAAATATATTCCCTTGTAACTAGAACTATAAGATACTGTATCTTCCTTGAAAGTCCAAAGATATTTTATTCTGATTCTCATCCTGAGAGTTTACTAGATATATATGCTTTTGTCATGGTTTAGCTCCAGCCAGTAACTAAGCACCACACAGCCGCTCACTCACACACACACATGCCCTGGGTGGGATGGGGGAGAGAATTGGAAGAGTAAAAGTCAGAAAACTCATGGGTTGAGATAAAGACAATTTAGTAAGTAAAGCAAAAGCCGTGCATGCCAGCAAAGCAAAACAAAACGAAGGAATTTGTTTACTACTTCCCATCAGGCTGGTGTTCAGCCATCTCCAGGAAAGCAGGTCTCCATCACACCTAATGATGGTGAATTGGGAAGATAAATGCCATCACTCCGAACGTCTCCCCCGCCTTTCTTCTACTTCCCCCAGCTTTATATACTGAGCATGATGTCATATGGTATGGAATATCCCTTTGGTCAGTTGGGGTCAACTGTCCCGACTGTGTCTCCTCCCAACTTCTTGTGCACCTCCTTGCAGGCAGAGCGGGGGAAGCTGAAAAGTCCTTCACTTAGTATAAGCACTACTTAGCAACAACTAAAACATCAGTCTGTTATCAACACTATTCTCAGACTAAATCCAAAACACAGTACTATTCCAGCTGCTAGGAAGAGAATTAACTCTATCCCAGCTGAAACCAGGACAGCTTTCTAGTTTGTTATCTAGTATTTCCTTTTTTAATTAGTTTCTCGATGCTTCTATATATGCTTCTGCAGTAAATAGCCACTCCACAGTTAGTTAATTCTTTTCTTCATAATATACCTTAGATAGTGTTAGTTTTGCAATTATTTGTAGCTGGTCCCTTTTTTTTTATTGCAGATTTTGTAAAGATAATTTTGACCGAGACTATAAGGCGACCATTGGAGTGGATTTTGAAATCGAACGTTTTGAAATAATTGGAATACCATACAATCTCCAGATGTAAGTTGAAGCAGCATGGTTAAGTATTGTGCAGAGTGCAATCTCAGCAGAGCTTGAATTGCTGCAGGCTCTAAGTGGAATAATGATTTTTTAAAAAATAATAAAATTGCACAAAGAATAATGTGATCTGAAAAACAGGTTTTGTACCTGGACTTACAGTTTTACTAAAAATTTTACTCTCTTAGATTTCTCATCCCTAAAAAATGTATTAAGTTTGTAAATGAAAATTCATCTTGGATCTCTTGCACCATTTCAGTGGAGCTCTGCCTTTTTTTAGTCAAATTTCTTGAAAGTCAAGTGGAAGCTTTTGCCAGAGACTTTGTTCAGTTCTACTTTTAGACCATTCTGTCTTTTGAGTTTAGTAGGCACAATGAGCACTGAAGTTGGCTTTATTGGGAATTTTATTCCCACAGGTGGTAAGGTGTCCAGTGATTTCAGCATCTCTTAGGGAATAACTGATTTTCCCCAAATCATAGGAAGACTTGAGTGTTTTTATTAGAATGTGAACCTAAAATCTTTGATTTTCAGCTTTGTTTATCACTAGTGGGAATCCTGGCCTTTTCTCACCTGCTTTGCTTCTGCTGAGGGGTGTCCTTTGGTATTTCCAGTGGCTAGCAAAATTGTTCTGTAGGGGGCATTATTGAACCATCTATGCTGTATTACAACGTAGAGCAGAAATAAGATGATTTGCATGAAGTATTTTAGTGCACGAATCTTAAACCTTTTCACTTAGGAACGTATTTTTTCTGAGATATCATTGATGTAAATAGATGGCTAGTGGGTTTTTTTGAAAAATACTTAGAAAACTATTTCCCATTGATTTCAGTGCCATTATGTTTTTGAAAATTCTGCCAGGCACTATCCTTTTGGAACTTGAGTTCCTTGAAAAACATAGACTGATGCATCAGTATTTTGCCAGCTGAAGCAATAAGGTTCATGAGCTACTAAACGTCAGGTTGCATTATCTGCAAAATCCTCAGTGGCTGGGTAGAACATTTCCACATCATAAGCACTAGTGCCCCCTCTTGCTGAGAGATTTCCATACAAGATAAACTTCCAAGTATCTGTAACTGGCGTACTAGGCTATAACAAATCCCCAAACCTCTGTAGTGCTGGCAGTAGCTGAGAGGACTGCATATCATGTTCATTAATAAGAAGCACTTTCTTGATTTTCTTTCATGGCGTCTTTAGTACCTGGTAGACTGAGCTGTAGGTCTCTAATTTGTAGTGTATGGACAGATATCATATCTAGCAGTTGCAACATTCTACTATGTGCTAATACATGATTTAGCTAGTATTAGCACAGAAAATTCTCAAAATTAGATTGCCCTAGAAATACATGCAAATGACACAGATGAGGAAAACTGTTTTAAAAAAGGGTATTACCATGCAGAATATGAGTATTTGAATTGTGTCTCCAAAATGACCAGTATTTAAAAAATAAAAAAAAGAAGATAACAGCAGAGTTCAAATGTCTTCATTAAATAATAGAGCTTTACTGTACTTCTATCAGTAGTTAATAAATAACATGTTCCAGATGGTAACACTTCTTTGGTATCACATTCTTCTCCAACTTGTACCAGTCTGCTGCTTCATTAGCATGTTTACTCAGGTTGCACTGGGTTTCATTAACCTGAAATGTCTTTTTTTTTTTTTTCCCCCATTGCACAGATGGGACACAGCAGGTCAGGAAAAGTTCAAGTGCATTGCATCTGCTTACTACCGAGGAGCAGAGGGTGAGAACAATATTAATTTGATCCTGGCAGTGACAGGAGGTTGTACTTTATGCGGAAACGTATATGCATATGTGCTCCTTGGAAAGGTACCTATAGACACCGTGTGGTGGAATGGATTATCTGTTATTGGAGAGAAGGGACTAAAAAGCTTATGAATTGATATGTTGTCACACCTCAACTCTGCATGTTCTGATGATGCAGTGATAAAAGGTTTGGGTAAGATTATTGCTGAAGTTAGAAGTGAATGCTTCTGGCATTCCCTTTGGTAAGACAATTTCTGCAGGAATTAAAGTAGTTCCAAAATAAAACGAGTAATAGCGCTATAGACTGCAGACTACAGATAAAGACTAAATAAGGTTGAAGACTGAGGACTTCAGTCTCACTGGGTGCTAGAGAAGGGAGAGGAATGAGCAAATGGATAGTCTTCCATCCCTGTGTTAAATCTGCTCTTGCACTGTATATGTCAACATTCTCTGTTTAACAAGATGAGTTGGAGAGATTTCTGGTACACTTTCTAACTTTTTTCTGTTCTTGTCTTTTATTGCAGTTATAATAACAGTGTTTGATCTGGCTGATATCCAGACTTTGGATCACACCAAGTAAGTTTCTGTGTTTTTGCCTTAGCCTTTAAAGATTTTACAGCTAGTTTAATTGCCTTGAATAGCCTGTAGTTGCTGAGAACTTGCTGTATTGTGAGTGTATTTTCTATTGAGCTAAGAAATGAAGAATGACAGTCACTTGTTTGGATTGCATAGGGTGGGATTTTTCTGAAGAAAATGCAGAGCATATATTTGAACTACTTACCCTTGACCCTCTAGTGGAGGGTGTCCCTGCCATGGCAGGGAATCTTTGGGGTCCCTTCCAACCCAAACCATTCTATGATTCTATGACTTCATTTATAGTCAGCAGAGAGGAAAAGGCACTTCAGTAAGAGCTTGATCCTTCCAAAACTAGACATGCAGGAGGAGATGAAGTGCACCCCAAAAGCATGCTTTTTTTTCTCCATTTGCTCTAAATAGAATAACAGGCTGGCATCTGATGTGAATGGTGAAATTGATGAGATGCATCTCATATCTCATGCATAATGTCTCAAGAGCCTCTCATTTTCTAGGTGAACTGCTAGCCCAAAATTATTTTCTTTCTCTAGTTTCTGTAGTGATTCTGTTGGGAGAGAGGCTGTCAAAAAGAGGAGAGAAAATTAAAAACTCAAAGTATATGTAGAAATAGCTAAACTTACTGGTTCAGGTACTTGTAATGGTTTGGTTACAACAGCATGCTAATTTTTTATGAGTAAACTTGTTCTGCTTTTAGTGCAGGCTGCAAAACCCTACATGGATCTATGATCCGCATTGTTGTCACCAGCTCAGAGTGTATATATTTCTAACACACTGTTGTGACTGTAATGCAGGTACATGTTTCTTTACAACCTGTACTCTGTCTTATTTGAATGCGTATTAGACTATTTCCTTAGACTACTGCTGTGGTACTTAGCTCATTTACATAGGACTTTGTAAAATAATATATATATTAGTGTCTCTGCTTGGCTGAAAATAATTGAAGCCTGTGAACCTGATTTCCCACACACTCCTTTCCCTCCTTGACTTATGTTGGATGACTCAAGAGGAACTTGATTGCCAGAGTAACAAAAAATATAAAAGCTTATGAGACAAGAATCATGCAGTCTTCGTAGGGAGCTGTTTTGTAATGCTGAATAGATTATTTCACTCTTCTTTATTACCGTTTGTATCTAATCTGCTATATTGTTCCTATCTTTTCCTCTGCTTCTTATTTTCTTATTCTTGATCAAAACTTTTCCCCCTCCTTTATACTGATAAATGTCCTCTCTAGGTGCGAAAATCATTGTTGAATTTGCACTCTACAGTGGGCATGTTTGAACTTTTCATTAGTGGAAGGCATGTATTCAAAGCAGTTAGAATAGCTCATGGTCTCTTTCTGTCTAGAAAAAAGGCTTTTGATACTCTCACATAAGTTCATCCTTTCACTTTTCTGGTGACGCTATTACCTGTCACTTTCTCCTCTGTTTCTTAATCCCTCTTGCTGATGCTCTCATTTCTCTTTTGTATTTCAGACAGTGGCTAGAAGATGCATTGAGGGAGAATGAGCCAGATTCTAGCTTCATCTTTCTAGTTGGAACAAAAAAAGATTTGGTGGTAAGTAAATTGAATGGAGATAAGGAAATCAGGTTTCTCCTAGTTCCTCAAGTTATTTCCCTTGCAAGTTGTACACAATGTTGTTGAGAAAAAGACCTTGAGGGAAAAACCTAAACAGAAAGAAAGAAAATCACAGGTAAATGGAACAGCAGACATTTAAGAAGACGCTTTCAGAAAAAATGGATAGTTAGTGAAATATCCCTATTTCCATTCCTTGCATGACATTTTTCAAGCACATACAAACAGCTGAAAAGGTAGAGAAAAGTTGGGTACACAAAAGAACAGAGTATCTAATGATCTTGAAGGTTTTGTTGCTTGTGGGGTTTTTTTTGTTGTTGTTATTTTGTGTTTTAGGGACAATGTGTTCATTATTCAGGAACAGGGAAGAATTCTTACTTAATTGAATGTGACATAATATTCAGAACAGGATATAATGCACTCACCCTGTACCATTATGGGTCTTGTGCTAATCTTTCTCTAGCTATCAATAATTAATTCTTAAAGATTTCAAAACAAATTTGCTGCTTCTGCTGTTTAGTTGATTTTTTTAATTTCCCACCCACCCCCACCAGCTGCCACAGTATCACTTCTGCAGTTTGTTTCTTAGCCTTCACTGAAAATAAGTCCCAGAAAACTGCATGTCTGTCAGTTTTTCTGGTACTTTGTGTTGCTTATGCTCCCTTTTCTGAGTTAGAGTAAAAGCTAAATGTGCCAGACCTCTGAGGACGCAGATCTGAAGTCTTGTCTAAGCTAGAATTCCTTACTGTAAGTTAGTTTCTGTTTTTAGAATGATAGCACTTTCAACTGAAAGACAGACGAGCAAAGCAAAGGATTGTGGGTTCTAGGTATTACTTCAGTATGAAATCAGTATCTTCACAACTGGATTCACTCTACTTCTCATCTTGATGTCACATCAGCCTTTCCAAATTTTTAGATTTCTTTTCAGTTGTGCAGGGGCTCCCCATTGTAAGACAATGCACAGAAAACTGTACAAAGATGACTGGTATGATCCATCACAAATAAGCTAGAAATTGAAAGCAAATAGCAACATACTGATATGGTGCATCACAGAGAACAAATGAGAAGGGAAAAAGACCTGAAAATTAAGTGCAAGAAAGCAAAATCCACTGAAGGGGCAAGAAATTTTAGTCTTAAGAAGAGATAAGAAAGAGCAAACATAAAAAGGGGGAAGGCCTTTTGTTACAACATAGTAAAAATAGGAGTAGAAAAAAGGATCGAGACAAAGAGAAGACAGATTAAACCTAAACAGTCATTGTGATTAGTCCGTCCTGCAACTCTTCTGCTGAGAAAGATGAGGTGACAAGCATTTAAAGACCAGTAACTGGGCTGTTGTCTTTATAGCTCCCTACCACACTATATAGTTAGATACAATGGTCACCCTCGTTAACTGTTGTTTTGTTTCAATGCTGTGGGAGATGAATGGAGACTTCCATTTTAAAAGCAGTACTAAGTACTTGGACGTTCTTGCAATCATGTCTGATTGCACTGAGTTCTAAGGCAAGGCCAGAAAGGCTACTGTGAAAACTGGAATCATCTTGATATAGGTGCTAGCAGTACCTCTATGTTATTACCAGCCCAGATAGATTTCGTATGTTAAAGTTATTCCATGTTATTTACTCAGTCAGATGCTGTGTGTGAAAGGACAGAGCTAGATGCTATCCGCTTTGCCAATGAGATGCAGGCAGAATACTGGTCGGTTTCAGCCAAAACAGGTAAGTTACTGCAGAGGATGTAAATACACCGTAACCACAAAGGCTTATGTTAAAGCAGGAGGAAATTAAAGTTCCTCATGCCCCCATTCCCATGCAGGGTTTTTTGTTGTTCTTGCATTTTGTTGCTATTGGAAACTTCAGGTTTAGTAACGGTTGATTTTATTTGAGCATTTGTATGTGTGCTTGCACTGTCATGTTTACAGAAAGGAGTACTTGAGCTGCTGTGCGATGCCTAAGCATGTTTAATTCATAGGTAGTTACATAAATACATGTGCGCTGCTACTCAACATTAGCCATGAAAAAAAATTATACCACAAACTGAATTCTCTCTGTTGCTGACTAAAAATAAAGGTATAGTACAGGGTACAGTATTCCAGGGTAAGAAAATGAGAAATTCTCTCTGCAGTGATCAGCATGGAGGACAGATTGTTGAAGAGGCCTGTTCTGTCCCAATATTGAGCAGTGATCTGTTCACAGATTGTTATGCTTGTTATGCTTGATCCTGTGTTGCTGTGCAGTTGTAAAAACACAGAATTTCTGTCCTGTTTCCTAGGGGAAAATGTCAGAGAGTTCTTTTCCCGAGTTGCTGCCTTGGCCTTTGAGCAGTCCATGATAAAGGAGCTGGAGAAAACTGCTGGGCGCACAGCCCAAATTGGGGCAGGAAACCTCATCAGTATGTAAAGTTTTGCTTTTTATGTGTATTTCCCTTGTTTGCAGTCTGAAGGACTGGGAGGTTTTTCAAGCATTAAAGCCTGTTTCAAACACCTGCAAGCATATTCATGTCAGTGTCTACTTGAGTTCAAGCATATAGGAGTGAATGGGGCTTCATTCAGCTTTTGTTACCCTTAGTATTGGATGGGATCATTTATGTGAATTGATTTTATAACTTTCTTGTTTCTACAGAACTGGAAAAGAATGTGATGGAAGTCCCAGAAGGCAACACTCAAGCCAGCCTGGGTTGCTGCTAACTGTCAACTGTTTCTGTGAGCGCCGTGTTTCTCGGTAGTGCAGCATAGAGCACCTGCAACAATGAAAGCTCTCAAACCAGAAATAGAAAGTTGTATTTTTGGAAATGAGGGAGGAAGAACTTATCCAAACTTTCTTTCTGAGAGTTTCCTTGCTGCTGCAGGCTTGCTTGTGCAAGATGGTACAGTTGTTACATAAACCTTTCCCTGTGTAGTGGAAACATGACATCTTTGTCTTAATGCGAGAAGACGTTGCCAGTGCCATGTGCTCACCTGTCTGCCAGAAACACTTGTAGTCAAAAGTTATGTAACTTTAGTGTGTTGTTCTTTGATAATTCTCTGGAAGTATTAGATAGTGAAGTTGCCTTCTCATGGGAGCAGAAAACAAATGGCAGTTCAGAATAAAGGGTCCTATCTGTATGTTTTTGCCTTTTAATATCGTCGTATAAAATAACTAAGACTTGCTTTTATGCATTACAATATTTTAAAACTGTTCCAAAATAAATCTTTTAAAATAACAGATATGGAAGTACACAAATGCAGACTGCATAGTTTTCACCGTAGTTTCTCCATCCAGGAAAAATCTGTTTTAATTTGCATTTTCCACTTGAGAATCAGAGCCCAGTGTTTAAATATTTCCAAGCCTAGAAGAAGTCCAGGTAGAGACTTTGTTGTTTTATCCCAGCTGTCTAGTATTTTGAAAATGTTACCAGATAAGAATGCTATTCTTTTCCACTTTCTTGAATAAGAAAGAATGGTCACATAGGTGCATGGAATAGAAAAATTAAATTTCATGTATTCCATCTTCCAAAGAGGATGCAGAAGCCTTCTCTGGATTGATCTATATGAATATTGTCTATACCGCAGTTCTCCTTTTTTGCTAAGAGTAATGACATTTTGATTTTATTCTGGGTTTTTTTGTTTGTAGTAATGCAACATGATTCTGGAACCATGCGCAGTCTCAGTCATGAACTTTTTCATCCCTGTCTGTGGTAGGAACTCTGAGCTGGTAAGGTTAGATTCGATACTGCTGCTAAACTCTTAGTTACTCTATCTGCTTTTACTGGACAAGATAATTTGATCATTGGATGCTGGGAGCAATATGCTCCACTGCTTAAAAGAAGCAGTAATAATAGAGAAATAGCATTGCCATTTTGTGAAAAGACTTGCAAGTGTATGTGGGTTTAGAGGGATGGGAAAAGATGGAGTTCTCCAAAGTAGAAACATGTTTGTTGAACCCTAAGATACTTGCCCTGTTGAAGATGCCATTACTGAGTGCTTACGGTAGAACCTGCTCTCTGGACCTGTTACTGTGACTTGGTATGCTGGCTGGATCAAAATGCCGTTGCCACAGTTTTGCCTTTTCAAATACCATTTGACATAGCCCTGTGCGATTAGTTCTTTAGAAATCACAATCATTGTTTAATGGGGAGAAGTTAGCTCTGGGTACCGCTGAATTTCATTGTATTAAAGCAGCTTTACAATGCTATTCTGCTCTTTGGACAGCAATGACTGAGGCCAATGAAAATATTCTAGATTTTTCTGCCATTTTTTTCCCCCAAAATTGTTTTATAAGAAATAGGAAAAAATGGAGAAAAGACGACTTAAACATCCTTTTATTACTTTTATTTTCTTATGACTTAAGTTAGAGCAGCATCATAGAATATGATGAATAGAGTTGTAGGAACTCCGTGTCTTTTTTTTTAATCGGACAATCTTCACTTTGGCAGTTGTGCCACTTCTGTTGGCAAAGGCACAAATGTAACATTTGGTGGAGAAAATGAGTACGTGTGGGTATGTAAGGAGTTATTTATCCAAATGTGTAATATTTTGACCTTATAACGTTCTATGTATGTGTTCATCTTCCAAATCTGTTTCAGAAGGATGACGAATATACGCTCCACTTGTATCACGTGCTGCACTGAGTGGGCAGCATAGCCATGCTCTTCATGTTTACTGAGTTTGAATGAGAGTAGAAAAGATGGTTCACTCCTCTGCAGCAAATCATGTTTTCTAGAGTACGTGATTGGTTTTGGTGCAGACACTTTAGTGTTTATAGCTGCAAAATGACTCAGTAACAAATCTAAGAAAAGATCAGGATTATCTCCTAAGTGTTTCTTTCGTTGCTGAGTGAAATTATTGTACAAAATCTCATCTCTTCAGCAATGCAATCACGTTGCTAGGAAAACCAACTGGGACAGTTTTTTCTAGTGATTCAGTACATTGCTTGATGTCATTACCGGTTTGTATCTTCTGGAGCTCCAAAAACTTCACGTACAAATGCAATACTCTGCCAGTTGTTAACTATCACTTGACAATCTATTCTATGATGGATCCTTTGAGACTGGGGTTGTTTTGGGGGTTTTTTTGGTTGGTTTTGGAGGGTGTTTTTTAGCCCCACTAACACTTGCCCTGCAAAGAACTTAGTATTAATAATTGATCATCTACAATGAATCTTGGATCATGTTGCAAATGATGAGTTGCTTAGGAAAGCACAAAGGAAACTAACTTTGGTGGAAAAATAAATGTAAATGTGCAAATACTTAAAAGTTTCTATCTGGTCTATGTTTTATCTATGCATGTTAATCCATTCTATCAGCAACTTAACTGGCTTTGAAGAAGCCTTAATATTGTGGAAAACAGCGTCAGAACAAATGTATTAACTCTAAACACAGGTAGGCTAAACCATGATTTTTATACCAGCTTGAGTCCTTACAGCGATCACGGTAACAGCTGCAGTGCCAGCTTCCTTGTGGAATTTGCAGCTGAGAAATTGGAGAAGTGAAATTGAGGCAGTTTGAAGCAAAGTTAAAGAGTAATTGTAATAATCAATTTGTCCAAAGAACTACTAATGTTATGCTGTTTATTGTCTTAGTAAGTAGAAGCTAATGTGTTAATGAGTTCCTGTTTAAATAAGTATGTATATCTCTTTGAGCAAAACAACTGGTAATGGATCAAAAGCCGCTTAAGAAACAGTCACCTAACAGACAAAGTTAATTTCTTATTATAAAAGCCTTTCCTTTTAATTTTTAATGGCATTGTTTCTGCCTTTTGAGTGATTATTTGACACTTAGGATATTATTATTTATATTCTTATATGTCATGTGATTCAAATCTTTCTGAATCCTGTTGGTTCCCAGCTCAGGCTCATCTCATTCTGGTACAACCTGAGTCCATTCTTCATGAATAAATCTATCCCCTTCCATGTCTTTTCAGGTTTTCATCAAATAGTTAGAGGTCATTCTAGGGAGTACAATAGAATGCACTGGTGAGTGAATGCTATAAACTCCTCTCTGTATCGCATGCTCTTAAAATGAAGTGTTTGGCAGTTGAAGTTGTAGCAGAATCCGCATTTAGTAACGGAGGTGGTTGATCAATTTCTTGGTTTTTTTTTTGGCCAGGAGGTTGTTCTTATGGCAAGAAATTGCCATTCTCTGAATTCTAAGAAAGGGAGTTCCCATTTTTCTGGGTTCATAGAATGATTCAGACTGGATGGGACTTCTCAACACTTACTGGCCTTGTCAAACTCTACTACAGAGTGCTGCTTTATGCTACAAAAATATGGTTTCTTAGTTTCAGCCACATCTGAAATCATGTTTTATTTCTCTTTAAAAAGACTCTGCTTATGTGCTACCATATTTTTTCATTCTTCTTACAAAAGCTCTGATTCTCTCATCTTCGATCATGCTGAAGAAACCGTTCAGGACTGACAGCTCAAGTTTTAAGCATAAACCGACTGGCTCCTCTTTCCCACAAGAGGGAGCTCTATGGTCACATAGTACTGGTTCCGTTTCGACTAGACAGGCTTTGCAAGCTCTTGTAGGCCAGCAGAGGGTATGTGCTGGACAGTCTGTCTGTAGTTTAGCTCTCTCATCACAGGATTCTCAGTCTCAAATCACAGATATGTGTCTGCCACCATAGCCTTAATGAAATTTTGTATCCTATTAAAATAATACTCTGCTGAATGCATAAAGTAGCAGCAAGAATTCAGAGATCCCTTCATCTCCCACTGGAATTTCTGATGTTGTAGTACCTCAGTAAATAAGGAGGGTATAGGTGTTTAATAGTATTAGTCACTAAAAGTTAAGCATGCATACAGACTCATCAGAATTCTTACTACCTTCAGAAAGGGCACAAATGTCAGAACAGTGAACCCAAACAGGAAAAACTCTAGACATAAAAAATCAGAACTGTGAGACTTCATTAAAAGTAATGCATGAATTCAGAACATATCCCTATGATGTAATATACCTGTCATTATCACTGTGCCAGTACAGTCTTAAACTTTGTATTACTAGAAATACATTGCATATCAGAATTTCATTGTTCAAACTGGCACTAAGGCAAACAAATAGCAAACAGTATCAATGGTGAAAAGCAATTTATTTTATTTCTGTGAAAGACTGAGATTTCTTGAAAGATTTATAGAGATATTTACTAAACATACAGATTTTATTATGATTTAGACTATAATCTGTTTTCCATATAGGTCAGCCAATGCCTGTTATGCATTAAAAGCTGAGGAAACAAGTGCAGGAAAGGAGGTTAAAGCCAGGAAACAAAAACCAAGAGGGATGAACTATGTAAAACTGAATACATGCTTAGCCATTTGTGATATGTCTGAAAATATCCAAAAGTATTTTGTTTGGCATATAAAAAAGCATGAAGAGAAAGACTGTTTAATGGATTATAAAACATTACATATTTCAAAGGTAAGAGAGCTATTCCTGTGGACTTGTGCTTTTCATTCTTAAGAGATTTTATTAGTTCTTGTTGGGGCTACATTCCACCTTCTTTTCTAGTAACATGAACCAGAAAAGATATACCTCACTGTGGACACAAAAGAAGCAGGTTTATGGGGCATATAACAGGGGGCATATCTCACTTTTTTGTATCATCCAAACAGGCAAGATGGAATTTCAGGTGTAATTGTTACCACTTCTTTTTTCAGAGGTTGAATTAGTACATGGAAAGGATACAGGGCTTAAGCGAGATCGTGTACT